GACACTGACAGGCCAACCTCGTTCGCCACTTGAAAGCGCACCTGAATTACGATTGGGCGCCTGCAACTTTTGACTTTGCTTTTGAACATCCAAAATCCAAAAGAGGTCCCCACTTGAAGGGCACCGCATGAAAGAGAAGCGACCCTATACCTTCAAAATCCGACGTGGCTGCCATCCAAGCTTCTTTGTTATATAGAGGCAGAAACGAAACCAACAACTTGTGGGCGCTACCAAATAAAAGGCCACCCAAAGTCCCTCCCAAATGCAAACATGGAACACAAAATGGGGCCCTGAGAAGATGGTCTTGGGGACCCTTTCAGGCTGCATGCTTGCTTTCGGGCGGGTATGCTCAGACCCAAAAGCGATCATGACAAAGAAGAACAAGCAGGCACGCTTGCGTTGGTTCACTTGTAAGGGTCCCGTCCTTACGGGAAAATAACATGTTTTGGGTGTTCGGGGTCAATACACTTCTGCCTCTCTGCTAGACCCAAAGTCATGAAGGGGATTCCCTTGGCCACAGAAAATGCTCCAAAACGATATGAGCAACTTGCGAAACCTCTTGTTTAGGGGAAGGACACTTTGGCAGCTCCGGCTCGGAGGTCGCAATTCTTCAGTACAAATGTCGTACAGGAAGTACGTTGGCGAAGGATCATTTTCCTTACGAAAGGGCAGTCCCGTGCACAACGCCGTGTTGACTCGAGTTCTTTTTTGTAACCCCATCGTTTCTGCAGACTGTTGGCAGCTTCTACTGACATGTTGGTATGTCATGTCCTCCCTTTACATATTGGTCCAGAGGTTTTGCTGGGTGCTCATAGGGGTGTCTTGCATGAACCCCCGAAATGCTGCTTGTCCTTTTGGCTTTGTATTGAAACCAAGCGAAAGTGGGTACCCTGAAAACAAAAACCCCGTGCCTTCCACCACGACGGCCGGAGAGCGACACTTTTCTATTCGGCCTACGCCGTTATGGCTCGGGTCGAGTCGGCGGAATGTCTCTAAGATCCTTCTCCCGTACCCCATTGGGTGGTTCCAAGAGAACGCCATAGGCTGGTGTCCCTCAGATTTGCTTCCCTGGATGGTCCCATCAGCCCTTGACCCATTTCCGGGAAGTACAGAAGTGCGACCCTAGAACGCAAAAAGCCTGCACAGGCAACTGGTCTGCGCAGTGTCTCAAGATGGGCTGTGCAAGTTGTCATGTGAAAATTCCAACCACCACGTGTAACGCTTTCACGGCATCAGACCAGTTGACCAATGGTAGCCTTCCCCCACCAAGTCTGCCGACACCGGCATTGAAGGAAAGCTCCCTCGACGGCGCGAGACTGTCGGGCTCCACCCTTGGCACGTGCTTTCGGGACAAGGCCCATGGCCCGAAGGGCCTTCAACATGGCCCACATGGCTCCAACCCAATCATTCTCGAATCGGCTTCGCCCATGTGAATGTAGTTACCAGAAAGGGAAGCAACGCCCCCTTCGAGTGAGAGCCCTATGTCCCTCCCAAATGGGCTGTAGACTGGATATGTTAACGGCAATCCACGTGGCTTGTTTCCAACACCACAAGCTTTGTCACATGCCCCACCAGACGATTCGATGCCATGCGAAACTTCTTCGCAGTTGTGGCTTCTGAAGCAACTTGGTTTGTCCTTCATCCAAATGGGCGCCGACTAACTTTGGGACATCCAACCCCTTTGTCCACCCTTTTGGCCCACCTCTCATCCCCGAAAAGTGCCCCAAACTTTGACACCAGGTCCTGAAAAAGATGACACGTCCCTGGATGCTAACCTTTTGGACAGGCGGCCACTCCTGCCAGGCCCAACCGCCGAGCGCGGCGGATCCGGGAAAGGTCTCGTTTGCTTTACCGAGTTGCTACCCTTTTGCCGGGAATTGAAACAGGGCAAACCAGCGGGAAAAAACAGTTTTTGTTTTTCTTTGTTTTTCTTTGGGGGGGTGGGGGGGTGTGTCCCTAAAAAGACACACCCAATTTTCGGGCAGCGACCGGATCCGTTCAAATAATCAGTTGTGGGGCGTGTTTTGCGTAATGTGAAACACTTATCATGGAAATTGTGTAGAGCAAACAAGGGTTGCGCTCTTCGAATGAGAAGCCATCAGAATCACGCTTGACAGTACGGGGTAACTCGGGCAAGCATTTCATCATTCTATTCGGACGTTTCATGGCGTAACCCAAGCCACATGTGGGGCTGTGCCGAAATAGTGGATCTCCTGTTGTTGCTCTTTTATCCAAAGCCCCACAAGGCAATAAAACAACAAATCGTACCCCCCACGTCTCAAGCGCTCACGTCGATGCTAAGTGCAAGCAATTGTACGCTGCACGCTGGGCACCGCAAATGTCGAGTTGGAACTCAAATTGTCGATGGCAAGTACGCACTGTGCAGGTAACACCTTCCAAAAGACATAGTCGGAGTCGTGTGCTTCTTATCGGTTCTGAATGAATTGTGCAATCTTGCGGGCCGACGTTTCGCCAAGAGCTATCACTCACACGTCTGAAGGAACGGATCCCCAGAAAAACCTTCCCAAGGGTCGCATTGGGCATTTCAAGGTAGACAGTAAGGTGGCTCTAGAAGCTGCTTAAAACTGGTCAGTGAATGGAAGTGAACTCTGTGCCGTTCCGAGACAATGAGTTTTATTTTCCCCAAATGCCAAGAATCACAGATTCCGGAAAGTTCTTGGTGGCTCAGCTGCGTTTGCTGATCCACTGTATTGCTGCATCAGGTGGCTTCGCATCTAGGCTTGACAAGCTCAAGCAATGTCCCTTTTCACTTGGGCGTGTGCAACCATAGGTTTGGAGGGGAAATAGCCCAATCTCACGGGCTGACCCAGCCCCGCCCATAGAACTTGCCCTCTGACACCACACAAGTGACAGCTCGATGAAAGCGAGGCGGGCCAGGTCCAGTAGAGAGGTTAGAATAAGGGTACCCCTTTTTTTCGGTAGTCTATTTTAGTAGGGGAACCCTCCGCCCAAAGAAGGGAGAAAAGGGCACTACTGGGGGACCTAGTAGGCCTCTAAAATGGCCCAACGTCTTGCTTTTGCTTTCTCTGTGAAGCCATCCAAAAGAGGGGTCGGCCCTTTTGCCCTCCCTACGGGGCGGCGTGACCTCCTCATTTGGGCTCCTTGGCAAGCAAGCTCTGCGCACATAGGGGGCAATATATGTTTGTCTGTTTGCGGGAAACCAAACCGGCAGAACGTTTACCATGTTTGGGTCCACCGAAATCGCCGTGCCACACCAAAGGGTGCGGCAGCGGTGAAAGGCTTGTAAGGCTCTTGGACACATTGTAACTGATACATCTTACTGTCTTCTCAGTAGAGAACAAGGGAATGACTCCTATAAAAAACTATCCCCTATGGTTTCCTTTGAGGAAATCTCTAGTTTCATGCCCCAAACGGGTCATGTTCTCACCTTTGACCCTTTCAGCTTGGTTGACATCCCCAAGTTCTCTTGCACTGGCGCGGAACGCGGAACGACCCTCGGGGTCCATCGCGTTTGCCAAAGGGACCAGCCATCAACTGGAAACCGAGGCGGCGGGCTTATCCTTCCAAGTCGCTGAGAGTCGTGGCAGCTAGGTCACATGGCAGGTCACATCACTCATTGCACAAAGTTGACCAACCTGCGGGAGTATATCCCGCCAAGTTTCCAAGAACGAGTACATGAGAGAGCCAAGGCAGAGTCCCATTCCTTTCTGTCCGCAAGTCATGGATGGCAAACATCACCCCGGATGTGCAATGCCACAAGTCAAAAGCCGACCCCAGCCCGCCTAAGAAACCAAACACACCAACAGATGCCCAACGAATGCGCGGTGCCGGACTTCATGCAAGGATGAGTCCTTTGGATTTTTCGACCTTAGCGTTTGTGAGATCTTCCAACAGGGCACTTTTTTGGGAGATCGTAGGCCACATTATTTGTGAGTCCAAAACCAACAGGATCCCATTTTGGGGCTACCCATTTTAGTTCTATTCTGGTGGGGATTGGGATGTTCACCGGGGGTTATGGGCTTTTGACCTATGCCCACATTTGTTTGGACAATGCAAAAACATGTCCAACGGAGATCACAGGAAGCACCTCTTCCTCACAGCACCTCGCCTAAAGGAGAGGCTGCCTGCGGCTTGGCTGCGTGACCTGCCCTTTTGTGGCAGGGCATCGATTTATGCCAAGAGCCAAAAACTTACGAACATCGCGCAAACGCCGTGGTATCTCACGCTGGAGTCGGCCATAATAAATCGAGCAAGCAACAAAGGCAAATCGAAGCATGTGTCAACTCGCTTCCGGAAAGCGTTGGCACAACTTTGTACACTGACCTTTGCAAAAGGAAACATGTCTATTTGGAGATGAGCCTGGCTGGCTAGCGAGAGCAAACAAGGATGACAAGGATGCCCCGCCGTACAACAACATGCACAGCCAAAAGCTTATGCACAATCACACGATGACTTATCTACTAGCGGCTTCAAGCTCATTTGGCCACAAAGAGCAGTGAGTCATTCGGACCCAAACACAGAAGCGGGAACTGGGACAGAGCCGGTGAAAAATGGCATCCGGCGTCTCTCCAAATTTCAGACTTCTGAAGTTGTGTCTCGGGGTGATTTGCGGATTTTCACGCTGAACCTTCAGTTGAAAACATGAGAACCTGCCAGGGCAGTTGCGTGGAGATCTTCATAAGGTGTGTAAGACACGCACCTTGCAATCATGTTGGTACCAAAAGTCAGTCTCGGGTCGCGAGCGTGGGTTGCGGTCAGTTCGGACAAGCTTCACATCGCAACGGCCCAGAGATTGGGCCGACGCATTCGGGATCCATTTGGAAGATACCGGGATTCATTCCAAAGCCATGGCCAACTCGAAGCTCTGACTTTTGGGAATGGCACCGGAAAGCTGGGAGAAGAAAAGGCTTTAAACTTGAGAGAAACACGCAAAAGGACTTGTCCATGGCGTGTTTCTCATAGGCTTCTTACTATCCAGAGTGATCCCTTTGACCTCCAGTGACCCAGGTCCCTGTTTGGGCAATGGCTGCGGGCCGCACGTCCGAGCTGGGAAAACTTTCACCATACTGGCCCCACCATTCCACCCTCTTGGTGGAAGGTTGAAAGGAAACAACCCCAGTTTCTGACTTTGTTAAACCCTTTCGCCGACTCCAAACATGCTGCCTCGGATCTACGCAGCATGGTGAAACCGGAGTGAGAAAGAGTCGAAAATTGATTCCTCTCCCAGGCACCTGCTCACAGGCTTCCAGATAGTCTGAAGAATAGCGAGCTGCGTTTGACACATGCTCCCAAAGGACCAATTTCCTTTGAGGGGCCCTGTATTTCTTAAAAACAACAAAAACATATGCAGTTGTAAGGGGCTGCCATTTTTTGAGGCATGGCACATGTAAAATTGGACAGCATAAAACTTCTCCTGAATGCCCCAACCCGAGGTGATCTCTTGAGGCATCCATGTCAAAATATGTAGGCTTGCTTCCATTTCCGTTTTCGGCCCCCGGAAACAATAAGCACATGTCCAGTAGTGATAGATTCCCGTTTAAACCCAGCAGAGGAAAAATATGAATATTCTTAAGCAATGAAGCTTGAACTCTGCAGAAAGTCCGTCGACTGGCCCAATGAAGCCAACCCTCTTAGGAACAAAGGCTTGACACCACGTGTTGAGGCGAGATAATGGCTAAGTGCGAGACAATGTTGGATGATGGCTAAGTGGTCCGGAGAAAAAGAAGAGCACCCTTCGGTAGTTGACTTTAAAGGGAAAACCCTTCGCACGACAACTGGAACTGGAAGTTTAGGTTGCGAAGAAGATACCAATTGCCTACTCCTCGTGCTCAAGGTTGCGTCCGGATGTTCAAAGAAACCAGAGGTGTGAGAAAATGACTGCTCTACAAAGAATCGTTCCAGGAGCATTGCTGCCAGGGGAACTCCACCTTGAAAACGCACTGGGGAGATATTCCATCCCCGCAGAAAACCATCCCCCATGTTTCTTTTTTTTCCCTAATCCGCAGACCCTGTCGACTCCAAAACATCCAAAACGTGGCTTGTTCACAAAGCGGAGGTTAAGTCATTCGGAAACCTGTCTTCACTGAACATTCTGCTATTCACAACTCCCATCCTCGGCCTGGGCGAAGTCTCCAATCCTTTTCTCCGCGGTCTTCGCCCCCGAAAAAGTTTTGGCATCGGCGCAAAAGGAAAAAAAAACGCCTCGAGACCGGGGCCGAAAGTCCTTGGCTTTTTTTCTTCCGGTTTTTGGGGGGCGAATCCGTTTTTTGGTTTCCAAAGCGAAACTCATCGAGTCACTTCTTGGAAAGGCTTCAAACGGCGTTGGATCGAGTTGCATTCCTGCGACAGTTGAATCCAACTGCCTTTTGGTCTCGAGCGAAGAAGCTAAACCTTGACCGAAGCGAAAATGTCCAATGAAGGCTTGGCTGAAGGATAAGGGCAGTTATCCCTTCACTTGAATTGGAGAACCCACCCTGGCACCAATCTACATGCGACCGATCAAGCCCATGCTTCGAACATCTGTGCCACGAGAACTTAGAAGGAACCAGCCCAAAACCGGAGAGCTGATGAATCCCAACAAGAACTGAGGCAGGAACTTTCCTAAAAAAACATCCTCAAGTTTTTTCTGCGTGAGTGTCATGTGATTCCAACGTCTTCAGCGCTCTTGCTGCCCAAAGCCATGACGCAAAGGGACCCATGCATAGACGGCTTGGGGAAACAACGCGCAAATGGTTGATTCTTTTCGGCGCAGCAAATGCAATACTCCTTTCACTCCAGAAACACGCTCCGATAGCGGGGCACACCATGGTCAGGGTTCACATAGGAAACCATGAAGGTGCCACAATTCTTACTCTTTGAATCGTGAGCAGGAAATGCAAAAGCCCTTTTCACATCCCCTTCTTTGTCAGCAAGGTTCCAGATTTGCAACCCATCCCTCCAGTGACTGCTTCCGGACTGTTGCCAGCATTGCGGCATCGAAACCGACCCTCAAAGGAGTCCGACCCCAAAAATCCCCAAATTAGATCATGTACATCGAACAGGAATGTACGGAGTGGATGGGGGGGGAGCCAACAAGGCTTATTTCATCGGAGCCTTAAACAAAAACAACTGTTGATTTGGCGTCTTCTTTATTAGACTTGGATGAACGATTGCAACTCAGCAACTTGAAGTATGGGGCTGTTCAAGGAACCTTCATGCCCCGTGTTGGCCGCGCTTCTTTGTTTTTGCTTTGACCAAGTCCGCAAGGCCAGGCGATCTGGGGCGAGCTGGTTTGACGTCAGAAATCGAGCTGGTCAGGGCCTCATTTTTCCCGTGACTGGCCTCATTTCATCATGATCAAAGTCACCTAAGGGATGGGTTGAAGGGAAACAACCCCATTCTCTGACTTTGATAACCCATGATAACCCCTAGAAACGTTCAGAATGATGACCCCCCCGTGAATCAGTGAAGCCCAGACGAAGCAAACCACCATTCCCACTGAAATCCCCAACCCCCCCCCCCGCCTACTCTTCCTCTCCATCCTGGCAAAGGGCGATGCAAGAAAAGCAACGGGGCACGCCCCCCCCCCGGTTGTCTATTCCAAAAACCCTACGGCCCTTGGGTTTCAAAAGGAAACCACAAGAAACCCGCCATTTGAAGCGGGCCCAGTAGAAAAAACGCATCTTCAGGGCTAGCGGTTTGTTGTGTTAAGACCCCAAAGTGAGGCATCATCTTTTCCCACGGGGTCAAAGGCACCACAAAATTAATCGACCATAGCCTTTCACAGGCTCCTCGGGGTTTGCAAAACAAACTCTTGAAACGCTGGATCCTCGTCAAGTGTAGTGCGCGGTGTAGTGCCTGAGACTTTGTCATTGCATTAAAGGATTCCATGGACGCAGGTAAAGAGATAGCATGTTGTTCTATCTGGAATCTCATGCAAATGAGTATGACTTCGTATGCCAGGTTTACTAACAGGAATTGGGAATGGACGAAGAAATGACCGCTGCCCTCGCTCATTTGCAATCAGAAACGCGATGATACACCACTTGCGCGTGTGCTCATCCCTCAAAGCAAACCCGTCAAAGTCTGCTTCAACAGGTCAGGCTGGCTCATTGTGGGTGTTAGATAGAGAGTCTAGACAAAAACACATATCAGTCCCCTTTTGGTTTCCTTCTGGCGTTGGACGAAACTCTATGAATACTTGGGCAATTGCTGCCCACTTGCGAAGTGGATTTTGTCCATCCACAGCTATTGATCGCACCTGCATGACTTTCCCAAACAACCACTTCCCATGAAGAAACTGTCGGATGGAAAATGGCTGTCTTGGGAACAACCATTTGTCACAAAGTTTAACTTTTTGGTGGCTTAGCGGAAAACCCCTTGATTTCCCAAAAAGTTAAAGTCTAAAGATCCAACCCAATAGCAGTCAAGTTGTAGATAGTTGTTTTAGATGCCAGGACTGAAAGAAAGCCGAAATGCACCGAATGTTTCGGGACCGGAACCAATGCTTCAGACCTTTCCACCAAGCTAAGGCTTTGTTTGTGCCCCAAGAGTAGTTTTGCTAGTTAGGGGGAACAACGTTGTCTCAAAGTTTAAAGCTACAGTCAATTCAAAGAGCAGCCAAGACACCTTCTGTTTGTTGGCGTGTCTTCAATTAACAAGGTCTAGCAAACACTAAACATAAGGTTGGGGTGTTTTTTTTTGACTAGCCCTGGTTTTTGGCTAACCCTGGTTCCAGGCACTGGCACTATGGGCAAAGTTTTACTCTGCGTCTTTGGCTCTTCCCTTTGCGACAAACAATTAAAAAAAACAGAGCAGGGGGGTTGGGGGGGGGCGGCAGCCCCCCCCATAATGGTTGCAGTAGTGATGATTTGAATAGGGGTGCAATTAAATCCCTGCAAAAGTCTAAAAAGTAGCGGGGAGGTTGGGGGGGGGCGGCAGCCCCCCCCATGATGTTCGAAGAATTGATGATTCAACTTGGGGTGCAATTAATTAATTCTCTGTAGAAAATCTAAAGCGTAGCGGGGGGGTTGGGGGGGCGGCAGCCCCCCCCATGATGTTGGAAGAAGTGATGATTAGACATACATGGACTACATAGATTACCTAAAATGTCGTATTTTGCAGCATTTTCTCGCGAAATTGGACGCTCGAAAAAGTGATGATTCAAACAGGGGTGCAATTCAATCTCTGCCGGGCCAGTAAAGTGTCGTATTTTACAGCATTTTCTCGCGAAATTGACGCATTTTACACTAGCCCGTCAACATCCCCCGCATGTCCGACCAACATCCCTAGCATCACCAACAAATCGTGTGACGGGGTCAAAGAAATGATGATTCAAGTAGGAGGGCATGTCAATCCCTGTAAAAAAATAAAAAAGCGGGGGGGTTGGGGGGGGCGGCAGCCCCCCCCACGATGTTGTTTGCAGAAGTGATGATTTGAATAGGGGTGCAATTAAATCTCTGCAAAAAGTCTAAAAAGTAGCGGGGGGGTTGGGGGGGGCGGCATGATTCAACTAGGGGTGCCCCCCCCATGATGTTCGAAGAATTGATGATTCAACTAGGGGTGCAACTAATTAAATCTCTGCAGAAAATCTAAAACGTAGCGGGGGGGTTGGGGGGGGCGGCAGCCCCCCCCATGATGTCGGAAAAACGCCACCTGCCGAAGAGGAACTGGGAATGCAGAGGATGCGAAAAGCCAAAAAGCCACCAAAAGCTGCATAAACCAGCAAAAAGCCGAAAAGCCTAGAAGCCCAGAAGCCGAGAAGCCAAGAAGCCGAAAAGCCAAGAAGCCAAGAAGCCAATAAGCCAAGAAGCCAAGAAGCCAAGAAGCCAAGAAGCCCAGAAGCCCAGAAGCCCAGAAGCCCAGAAGCCGAGAAGCCAAGAAGCCAAGAAGAAGCCAAGAAGCCGAGAAGCCAAGAAGCCGAGAAGCCAAGAAGCCAAGAAGCCAAGAAGCCAGGAAGCCAGGAAGCCAAGAAGCCAAGAAGCCAAGAAGCCAAGAAGCCAAGAAGCCAAAAGCGCAAAAAAACAAAAAAAACAACGAAAAAAAAAAAAAAAACTAAAATAAATACCCCCCCTCCTTTTCTGACCCCCAGGCCCCCTCTGCCCTGGAACCAACCCCCAGCCAACGAACCACCCAACCACCCAACCAACCAACCAACCAACCAACCAACCAACCACCAAACCCGCTCACACAGCCAACCAGCCGACCAGCCGACCAGCCGACCAGCCCAGCCAACCAACCAACCAACCAACCAACCAGCCAGCCAGCCAACCAACCAACCCAACCAACCCAACCAACCCACCAACCAACCAACCAACCAACCAACCAACCAACCAACCAACCCAACCAACCAACCCAACCAACCCAACCAACCAACCAACCAACCAACCAACCAACCAACCAAACCCGCTCACCCAGCCAACCAGCCGACCAGCCCCGCTCACCCAGCCAACAAGCCGACCAGCCGACCAGCCGACCAGCCCAGCCAACCAACCAACCAACCAGCCAGCCAGCCAGCCAACCAACCAACCAACCCACCCAACCAACCCAACCAACCCACCAACCAACCAACCAACCAACCCACCCAACCAACCCAACTAACCAACCAACCAACCAACCAGGGTTGGGGCCAACCAGGGTTGGGGCCAACCAGGGCTAAGCAAAAAAAACACACGACCCTAAACATAACCCTTGACCAAAAATAGACTTGCTATAGATCCAATTTGGGTTGGTCTACGGCACGATCGTGGAGGTTTCCAAAAGGCAACAGTTCGCAGATATTGGCCCTGGGCAAAACAATGAATTTCGTTTCGCCGGGAAAATAGGGCAGTCCCCTGCTATTGCTGGGAAACTTGCGGCCCTTCCCCCCATGTCCTCCCAGATCAATCATTTCGTGAGTTCCAACAGGGTCACTGGATTGCCCCTTGAAAAGTTGATCCATTTACTGGTTCGCGCGAAACTTCTGCTTTTGGAGGTTCTCAAAGGGGAACCACTAGATCATTGTAGGGCTTGACTTCGGAACCCAACACATGTAGCACCTGCGCAACTGAAGCTCATTTGCCTTCAGCAGAACTCAAAAGCATGCGGCCACACTGGGGTCTGTCTGAATATATGGGTTGCTGCCTCAAAACAAGCCAACAAAATCCATGCGTCCCTCTGGGCTTCCCCGGAAGCGCAGCCCACCCACTAGAACACCCACCTTCAGCGTTGCGCGCATCTGAAGGCGGGTGTTCTTGGAGGGCCGAATCCGCTTATTCTTCTGTCCTGGCGAGTCCCAAAGTGGTGGATCAGTCTGTTTTCTTTGGCCACCTGGGTTCAACCTTTTATTGGCTCGAATTTGTTAATGGCCATGGGTCAAACAAAGCCCCGTACCCCCAGTAAACATCCCAATCTCCACTAAAATAGACTAAAATGGTGGCGCACCTATCCCAAAATGGTTTTGCCCCACAGCCAAACAACGCGGTGACAGTCTGATTCTTCAAATCCAATTGTTCAAAGGGCGCATGTTGTCGGCACTCAGGCACTGCAGCTCCCTTGATCGAACTATCAGAACTAGGTCAATGCGACCAAATGGTCAGACTATGGATTTTGGGGGTTGTCAATATTCTGGTCCCTTTTGGTGCTCCCTCTTAAAGGCGGCACTGACAACAAAATCCAACAAAAGGGCCACAGGTTTGACATCCCGTTTGCCACAAAAAATAGCAGGTGAGCCGTGAACGGTTACGGCAAGAAATATTGCCCTGAAACTGACTCGAACCTCAAAACGGCCTCTGCGTGTGGAGGAATATCCTTCCTTTTTTGGAGTCCACTTCGGAGTACTTGTGAGGCATCTTTGTACTAGGAGCATCCACAAGTCACATAAAGAATTGTGTGCTTTCTGACTGCGCAAAACTCAACCCTGCTTGAGTCACAAAATAAGGTGGCTGGCTTTGGTGAAGTTGAATCCCAATTCACACATGATCAAGCATGGACAGGCCTGCTTGTTCGGTGTGGTCGCGTTGGAATTCGGTTGGTGGCAGGTTAAGACGGCAATAATGTATGACATCTGGGCATTATCTTTCCCCAGTAAACACGTAAACCGTAAATCGGCTTGAGGCTATTGTGGCGAAATCCACTGAACCGGGGAAAAAGAAACCCGGTTAAGAAAGAAACCGAGTCATCCAAGACGCAAGTTGACGAGTCAAGTTGCAACTGGTCACTGACCGTAGGATCGCTTTCATGTGTCAGACATCGTTTTCCACGAAATCCTCTTGCCAAAGCTGTGTTGCCCGGTCTAAGACCCCCTGCAAAAAGTGCATTGCTGCATGCTAGTCAGCAAACAGGGTGCTTCCAGCGAACGTGCAAGGTCGAAGTGCTTGAAGGCTTCTTCCCCGAATCAAGAAAACACAAGCAACCACAATCCATGTGAAGACACGGATCCCTTAGGCTCCGTGGTGATACCCTCACTCCGGCAAACCGTTCCGAAGCCATGCCCTGGCTCCCGAAGAACAACAAGCGAGGCACCACAAATAGGTTCCTGAAAAAGAGGTGTAGAACGAACAAACGACTTGGGAAGGCAATGACCATGCAGAACTACATGCTCAAAACCTAATCCGAGTGAATACTTTGCATTGGTCTTCAGCTTGGGACTGGAGGGAATCCTAGTTTCCGGACGAACAAGCACGATTTCCATTCATGTCTTGGGTGTCGTCAAGGCAATCATCCCGCTGCTCCAGCTTGGGAACGTGTCCAGGGAGGCTTTAAACTATCACCTGCTGTCATCTTAAGAAGAAACAAATACTCTTGGAGCCCTGTTTAAAGGACATCCTGTTGAGCCAGACCCTGGATTATCTTTCAAGGGCAGCCATGCACCTATGTTTGACACGTTCCCCATGGCAAAACCTGAAGCCACACAAACCACACGACGCCCTCGAGAATCCAAGGCCAAGATCGAGAGCTCTTGTGGCCTACGCCCACTGCATGATCGTGAGGGGTGAGGCGGCCCGAGGTGTGTTGGAAGCATAACGAACATCCTTATTGAATGATTTACACAGAGAACCAACAGCAAACTGCCAGGCTGCTTATTTCACGAGTTTAGGAGCTCATTTACCCTCCCACCAACAAACATGGAAGTGCACAGGCCATTTCGTAGAGAAACACGCACAAAAAAGAAAAACACAATCAACATGTTTATGGGCCTTACAATATCCTCAAGTAAACCATGTAGGAGCCCAATCACCTACTCACATGGTGGCAGTTTGTGGGCGCGGCTCCAGGTGGAACGCGTCGACACACGACGGCGAGTCCTGGATGTTTGAAGTGGCAGTAGTCGCAACGAACTCCTTTGCCGCATTTGCCTCGCCAAGGATTGTTTCATCGAAGAATAACTAGGTCCTCCAGTAGAGAGGTTAGAATAAGGGTAGCCTCTTTTCTGCAGTCTATTTTAGTAGGGGAACCCTCCCGCCAGAAAAGGGAAGAGAAGGGCACTAGGGGACCTAGACAAAAAGACCCCCGAAGCCATGGGGGCAAACGTCCCTCTTCATGGACCAACGGGGGCTATGGGAGGATAAGCCATGGGTAAGCCCTTGGCCTTCTTAAGGGGTTAATAAGGGATAGCCCCCCCTTGGGAGTCCATGATCCCTGAGATACCGAAGTGGCATTCCCATCATGACATTCATTGAATGGTTGCCTTTTTGTATTGCTTTCCTATGATCACTCATGACCACTTATGACCACCAATGCCGACTTGTCTGCCTTTGCCGTCATTTCTGGGCTTTTGGTCAAGCGAACACGACAGCTTCCTGAATATGGGCGAGTTCCCGTTGATTTCCGTTTAAGGCAATCACTCAAAAAGGGCAAGCAAGACGGGCCAACTCCTGCCCAAGCAACCTGGTCGCAGGAAGCCAGATCGGAAGTCCTGCTTAGAAGTTGCCCGCAACAGGCGTTTCGCTAAGGAAGGAAGGAAGGAAGAAAGGAAGGAAGGAAGGAAGGAAGGAAGGAAGGAAGGAACGACGAAGGGCAGGGAGGGAGGGATGGAGGGAGGGAGGGAGGGAGGGAGGGAGAGGGAGGGAAGGAGGGCGGGAGGGAGGGAGGGAGGGAGGGAGGGAGGAAGAAAGGAAGGAAGGAAGGAAGGAAGCGCCCCCCCCCAACCACCCCGCTGATTTGTAGAATGTTTACAGTGATTAACGCACCCTTTGCTGAATCATGACTTTTTCGATCATCATCACCCTTTGTTGAATCATCACTTCTTCGAGCATCATGGGGGGGGCTGCCGCCCCCCCCAACCCCCACGCTGATTTTCAGAATGTTTACAGAGATTGCCGCACCCTTTGCTGAATCATCACTTCTTCGATCATCATCACCCTTTGTTGAATCATCACATCTTCGAACATCATGGGGGGGGCCTGCGGCCCCGCAACCCCGCTGCTGATTTGTAGAATGCTTACAGAGCTTAACGCACCCTTTGTTGAAGCATCCCTTCTTCGAACATCATGGGGGGGGGGCTGCCGCCCCCCCCCAATGGGTGAGGGATCAAAAATCTTTTTAGGCATCAAAACAACTTGTTCCTGAAGATCAAAAAACTTTTAGGGGTCAAAAAAACTTCTTCTCTTAGATTTCCCATTAAAATGAAAACTGAGAGGATGCAAAAATACCTTGTTTGGCATTAAACAAATATCTTCATTTCGTGGCATGCGCAGCACTTTCGCAAGGTGAGGTACAGATTTCTTGGCAGGCGCAGCATTTCCGCAAGGTCAGGTACAGATTTCGCGGCTAGCGCAGCACTTTCGCAAGGTACGGCAAAGATTCCGCGGCATTTGTGCGGCAGGCGCAGCACTTTCGCAAGGTACTGCACAGAATTCGCGGCAGGCGCAGCACTTTCGCAAGGTCAGGTACAGATTTCATGGCAGGCGAAGTACTTTCCCAAGGTCAGGTACAAACTTCGTGGCAGGTGCAGCACTTTCGCACCGCGGCAGGCGCAGCACTTTCGCAAGGTGCGATTATTTCGCGGCAGGCGCAGCACTTTCGCAGGGGGGTTGGGGGCGGCGGCCCCCCCCATGATAATCGAAGATGTGATGATTCAGCAAGGGGTGCGTTAATCTCTGTCAACATTCTACAAACCAGCAGGGGAGTTGGGGGGGGCGGCAGCCCCCCCCATGATGTTCGAAGAAGTGATGCTTCAACAAAGGGTGATGATGATCGAAGAATGTTCGAAGAAGCGATGTTTCAACAAAGGGGGATGATGATCGAAGAAGTGATGATTCAACAAAGGGCGCGTTAAGCTCTGCAAACATTCTAAAAATCAGCGGGGGGGTTGGGGGGGGGCAGCCCCCCCATGATGATCGAAGAAGTGATGATTCAACAAAGGGCGCGTTGAGCTCTGTACTGTAAACATTCTGAAAATCAGCAGGGGGGTTGGGGGGGGGGCAGCCCCCCCCCATGATGTTCGAAGAAGTGATGATTCAACGAAGGGTGATGATGATCGAAGAAGTGATGATTCAGCAAAGGGTGCGGTAATCTCTGTAAACATTCTGAAAATCAGAGCGGGGGTTGGGGGGGGTGGCAGCCCCCCCATGATGCTCGAAGAAGTGATGACTCAACAAAGGGTAGAAGTCATGATTCAGCAAAGGGTGCGTTAGTCACTGTAAACATTCTACAAATCAGCGGGGTGGTTGGGGGGGGGCGCTTCCTTCCTTCCTTCCTTCTTTCCTCCCTCCCTCCCTCCCTCCCTCCCGCCCTCCTTCCCTCCCTCTCCCTCCCTCCCTCCCTCCCTCCCTGCCTGCCCTTCTTCCTTCCTTCCTTCCTTTTCCTTCCTTTTCCTTCCTTTTCCTTCCTTTTCCTTCCTTTTCCTTCCTTTTCCTTCCTTTCCTTCCTTTTCCTTCCTTTTCCTTCCTTTTCCTTCCTTTTCCTTCCTTTTCCTTCCTTTTCCTTCCTTTTCCTTCCTTTTCCTTCCTTTTCCTTCCTTTTCCTTCCTTTTCCTTCCTTTTCCTTCCTTTTCCTTCCGTTTCCTTCCTTTTCCTTCCTTTTCCTTCCTTTTCCTTCCTTTTCCTTCCTTTTCCTTCCTTTTCCTTCCTTCCTTCCCTCCTTCCTTCCTTCCTTCCTTCCTTCCTTCCTTCCGTCCTTCCTTCCTTCCCCCCAAAGGAATGAGAAGAAGTTTTTGTTTGATCCCTAATAAGTTGTTTTAAACCCTAAAAAATTGTTTGATGCCTATCCCCGTTTCGATTAGGTTCTGCATTGGACATCGGAAAGTCCCGGCCCCTACCTTCTCTTTTTGCGGGAATTCCACTAAGTCTCCATGAACAAAATCACAGACACTGAGTATAGCACTTGCATCGTTGTTTCCATCAGCAAGCTGTTTTTTCAAGGCCCACCTCTACCGATCGTGTACCTCGCTCTTCCAGGGCAGAGCCGAAAGCTCACTTCGCAAACAATGTGCCCGGCCATCAGGGTCTCCTTGTCGCCTATGGCTACGTCATGCCCCTGAATGCTTGACTAGAACACGTAGAGCGTACAAACAAACTTTGCCAACGCAGAGTAACACCAAGCGAGTTCAACATCGGCCGTGGAAACTGTTTAGCGCTCGCTTCAAGCTACTCTTCGGACTCCAGGAAAGCGTACCAGTTGGGAGGTGTGAAACCCTTTGGTTGACACGATGATTCAATCTGCTCTGGGCAGCTAATGCTGACCCAAGCGAAGTCCAACCAAGTGTCATATGGAGCAGCTTGCGTGATGGAATCTCATCACTCTTCTGCACGTACCCCATGTCATGAGATGGCAAAGGCCCGCTTCAATTGTCCGTTTTTGTGGGGAAAGAAGCAGTCATGATCGTCTCATCCCATGCCTTTGTGGCTAGAACAACGACCTGGGAGACTATCTCAGCCATATCGCCATATGCGGCTGGCTCAATCACATGGTTTTCTTTTGACTTCCCTGTGAAACCTGCCTTGACACATCCGAATCTTCAGCTGCTGGAAACACCTGTGAGTTATCCCTCTTGGATTGCCATTTGCAACACCCGTGGATTGCCATTTGCAACCAAGCGGAATGCATTGAAAACAAACAGCTCTCAAACCTTATCAAGCAGTTCATTGAATCAAGTCCGAGTGTTGTTTTCGGGGCTCTGGGAAAAGACATACAAGACTACACCTTGGTTTCTTGAGTCTGAAGAGTTCTGGGTCGTTTAGAACCCATTTGCCCGTTCTCCCAGCAAACCCTTGGCGCTTGATGGCGCCTTTGAACCAGAACAAGCAGGGCGAGCAGGTGTCCGGGTGCTGCAGGCCTGGGCGAGCAGTTTTTGGCGGAGTCTGGTGGTTGTAGACTTTACTGGGCTGCCCGTTTTCGGATCCGCTAAAAGTGACTAACTTGTCGTGGGTTAAATTCGGACACTTTAAACTTGTTGAGGCTAAACATCTAGGGGATTGGTGACAAAAACTAGTAGATTTAAATGGAAACCACCAAACACTAAAAAGCAAAAAGGCTAAGGGGATGGCTGGGAGCCACCAAGTTTACCCCATGGGTAACTTTCCCCATGGGAATGTCAAATCCGTTAAGGGGTTTTCCAACCAACGATCATCCTATGTATCCTTCCAATGAACATGGAACCCTTCGACGTCCGGGGAAGACTTTAGCCTCCCAATTCAGTGCTGTCCGTTTTCAGATCCCGCTCTAAGAGTGACTAACCTTTGGATTAAATTCGGAAATCCCCGCTCCAAACACTGAACAGCTAGAAAGCTAAGCCGCCAAGGGTTACCATGGAACTGTTCGACCTTTGGGGGTCCCTGGTGATCATTCTCCTTCGTCTCCAGCTTCGAGGGTCGTTTTGCTTCTGCCACTTACAGTCGAGCCTGCCATCCCCCGAGCTACAGCCCCCTATTCTCCATCCCGACTCGGTGCCCGATCTGGCATCGACCCAAAAACAAGTATACAAACCAAAACAAAGCCGTAGTTGGCAGGAGGTGAAGCCCAACTTTCTGAAGACATCCAGGGCGAACTGGTCAACATTTAGGACATCCGCGGTCATGTTTGCAAGAATAAATGTCCGTATGGGCACGGGTAGGCCTTTCAACAAACTAGTCCTCTGAAGCAAAGAACAGCAGGAGGCACTGTGGATTCCAGACAAACATTGCAAGCACATCCCTGCCACATAGAGTACTCTTTGCTTGCATTGTTGGACCGTCGTCTCTGCGTTTCTTTTTTTTTTGTGAGCACTCCTCTTTTGGTAGGTCAAACAAAAACAAAAGGCAAACTATCCATTCAACTGTTTAAGGACCCCGTTGTAGGGAACACCCTGTTGCTGAGTGGCCGCAAAGGCCAAACTACTGCTTCATCCTCTGCAGAGGAACTCATGGTTCCGACATTGAAAACAAGAAAAACAATAAGTTCAACCCTTTGAAGGCACGAATGCTTCGCTGGTTGAGATAAATGTTGCCTTCTCGCCCAACAAACGCCAGGCGACTCGAGATGTCTGCATCCGAGAGGCTGCCAATGGAACTCCTCTCACCTAACGGCACCGGAAAAGGGGGAATCAAAAACCCGCTGGAAGCCTTGGGCCATCTTCGGCGTCGTTGTCTTTTTTGCTTTAACCCACAAAATGGTTTGTTTTCCTGGTGGTTTCCCTCTACCAAGAAGGGTCATGTTGACCCCGTGCTAATTTGGGGGAGTTCCCCTCAGATGAGTGATGGATCCCCGCTCTCTCCTTATATGGCCTATAGTCATGGTTCCCTTAGCAATCACTAGACTGGTTCAGGATCCTTACCAGGTAGATCACCATCCCTGTTCGCAAGTAGAGAGGTAAAGCATTGACCATGGCATAGGTGGCCTTTTGAAAAGAAAGATGGCCCTGGTAACTGGGGTTAATAAACCCATCTAAACCAGTGGAACCCATCTATTTTTTCATCAAACTAACCGATCAAAAACATCTATGGGCACAAATATGTCTCAAACTACAACTTAGTCCCACACGGAAAAGGGACCTCGGAGAGCTCCTTGAACCCCAGCTCCTCTTGTGAGAGTCTGTGCCGAGCCTAAGAGACGCCAGAGTCACGAGACCTACACATCAGGCAGCGCACGAAATCCAAATCGACTTTTGGTCTTAGCAAGATGGTTGCAAAGCTTTTTTGGCAATCAATTTTACCCTCCTAGATGGTTGGTGGACGCTAATCCCAACCTAAAAACATATATCCAAAGGGTCCCCAATATGTCCACCGGAACCCAATTCAACCAGTGAGGTCCCCTAAATTCTTTGGTGTCCCCATCAGATCATCCCAGGGATCTACCTTGAAAGACACTCCCATCTTTCTGTCATTCGAGCTTCTGGATTGGGGCAATCTATTCGAAATGGGGGAACTGCTGACGCAAACACGCACCGATTCAGAGCCCAACAGTGTTTCAATTGTCTGAGCGCGACCCCAGACAACTTCGACTTTTGGCTGTCATATATACTCTGACTCCACGTCAATTCATTCCCATGTGTTCATCACTTATAGCTGGTTGTGCAGTGATTCTTCATAGGAACCCCTGGTTGATTTATACTAGTGCATACAGCTACCACTGTAGCAGGTAACGAGGATTGCCTCTTCTAGCGTTACAAGATGTATTTGTCCTGGTTGCCAAAGGTAAAAATGGGCTTGTCCTTTGTTAGGGCTCCCCCCCTCCCCCGCCCCCAAAAAACGAGTTTCAAACTTGGTTTCCCTTGAATCCACAAAAAAAGGGGATACCGGTAGTACCCTCCCCATTTTTCCCGGGCTGCCTACAGGCAAGAATTCCCCCCCCCCCCCCCGCCTTCATCGTTGAGGGGCACCTTCGCAAGAAGCTCTTCCACCGTACTGGCGCGGCGAGAGGTGAAGAGCAAGCGGACCAATCCGGGCGAATCCGCATGGAACCTACCGGGGAAGTCCTGGACCATTTCCCCTGGAAAAAACAACAACAATATGGTACTCATTGTAAATGGTTGACAGGGAGCAAACATTTAAATTTTGGCAGCTAAGTGGGGAGTTCCCACTGAACACCAAAAAAGCAAAAACGCCCAACAACAACCACGAAAACACCCGAAAAGACCAAATCATGGTACTCATTTTAAATTCATGTGGATCACCAACCCAGGGATGTCACCCAAACGGTTCCACTTGAGGCTTTCAGAGGGACAACGTCACTCTGAACTTCGGGACCAAGAACGCCGTAATCAAGCGGTGGTGTCCCTAGCGGAAGCGGGTCTCACACAAACACCATACAATGTTACAAAATACAAAAACAGACACACACACGAAAGACACCATACAATACAAACACAAATTGCAAAAACAACTTTGTGAATATTTTTGTCACGTTAGCACACAATCTCTCTCGCAACTGGCATGTCGCAACCTAAGGCTTTTAGGGACGACCACACCCACGCTTACACCTGCCAGCACCATAGCTCTCCTTGACATTGCCCGGAAGCGTTGGATTCTCGCCTCTTCGCCTTTTCATGGGATGTCTCCAGAGTGATTGAACAGCATGTTGTTGCTTCTTCAATCTTTTATAAGAGATGAAAAGAGGAAGGAGAGGAAATGGAGATGATTAGATGGGACATGTTTTTATTAATCTGTCATGTCATGCCCGATCATTTGTCTCCTCCTTTCCAATTTATTCCTTTATCTTTATTCCCCAGCCCTTTCTATCTACCAGCTGGGAATGAGAATTGGCATTTCCAAGATTCTAGAGCATATGCAAGAGACATGCCAATCAATAAAATATGGTCCTTTCCTTTCCCATTCTCTTTCTATATCTCTTTCATTTTGGTTCCTAAGGCATTCTTCATAAGATGATGCCGGATCCAAGATTAGGAAAGAGATAGGGCTGTTCATAATTAGCTTGGCTTCTCTCATCTCTCTCATTCGCGGGAGTTATCACCAGAACAATCCCATCCTTCGCACTCACTCATTCCCTTTGTTTGCGGGCAAACAAGGTGGAAAGGACGCAACAGGCAAAGTATTGTTTGTCTAGGTCCTCCAGTAGAGAGGTTAGAATAAGGGTACCCTTTTTCCTGTAGTCTATTTTAGTAGGGGACTCCTCCCCCCCAAAAAGGGTAAAAGGCAGGGACCTAGTTGTAGAAGTACCACCCGAAGGAACGAGCGTAAATCTTGTTCACGGGAATCTTCTCTAGTACCCCTGCAACTAGCAGCTGGGCAAACAGGTGTGTGTTTTTGTTTCAACCAGTCTTTCTCTACCTAGCTAGAATGTCCTCCAAGAATTGCCATCCCTTGTTCATTTGCTCACGCACTTGGCCAAAGGGCCTAGAGATACCAAATTACCCTTTCGGACTCATGACAAACAATGGACCTAAGAGAAGAACAAGGGCAAAAAGTCGATCCACTGTGGGCAAGCAAGTGTATGTCTCTCTGAAGCTCATCCCTACCAAGCAAAAGATCGCGTTAAATTGGAACAATATCAAGTACCTCCAAGAAGACTCACTCCCACATACCCCTTTAGGCATGCCGCAGCCTATGCAAATAGTTTTTGGGGTTAGGTCAACAGGTATGGAGAGTCCTTGGAAACGCAGGAAAAGTACCACTTCCTGCACTCTTTTACCTCTTCCTTAGCACTCTCTTAGCATAGCAGGAATCCACGGGTAACCAAACAAAAACTCAGGTGGTATCCCCAGCAGCCTGCGGAACCCCACTAGCTCGAAGAACTCCGGAGCATCGGCAGATCGACAACATAGCTCTCAGCTGTTGGGGAAAACACACACATGAGTGTCTTCTGAGGTGCACCCCCCCAAAAAAGAAAGCCAATGGTGTCTTCCTTTTGGCTCCCCCTTTAAACCAACCCTTAAACCGGGTACCCTTAAAAGGACAGACGTACCATCAGCTTCGAACACTCTCGCCTTCCTTTGGTCTGGGAAGGGTTCTGCGGGCCCACTGGCAGTGGCTGCGCCAGGCGCAGGTTCGCCGCCCTGGCCACTCGAACTCGGAAAAAATAAAAATTAAAAAAAACATACTAAAAACAAGAAAACAGTCAGCTTCCTTCCAATTCGTACCTTGGAGCCTGGTGGGTTCGGTGGTTCGGTGGTTTGCTGGTCTCCCAGGATTCGCTCCCCTCCATTTGCGTGTTCGCTCCAGGAACAACTAAAACGTATATGTCCGAGAGTGATATAGATTCCCGTTAAAACTAACGGGGGAAATAAACACTAATCCAAAGCAAATGGAAGTTCCAATTGACGCTTTGGAGCCCGGTGTGGTGGTTTGGTGGTTGGTGGTCTCCCATCTCTACAAGAACCAGGGCTTCAAATCCAAATGCAAACCACCGCCTGCAACAGGTGTTCCGACAAGGAATGAACATCATGGTTGGTTTGAAGGGACGTCAACATGAAAATCAGCAGTTCGGTTAGTTTGCATTGGTGCGAGCAGGGTTCGCTAGGTTTCCCCCTTAAACTTGACCCCAGCAAGAAGCCCGCCTAACATTGGTCCAAAAGGTGATGCTTAATCCAACTCAAAAAGGAGATATGGGGACCAACTCAAATCAGGGTGCATGATCTTAAGACACCGAATCTCCAGGAACTGAGATACTTTTGTTCACCCAGGAAGTCGAGGAAATCACAACCCGACCAGGGTTTTGGCACTTCAATGGGGGGGGTGACGTTGGTCGCACACCCATGTGGGTGTGTCCCTTTTTAAGGGACCCCAGAAAATGGTGGGTTTACTTTCGCCGTCCCTTTAAAACCAACCGAAAGGGGGGTTTCCTCAACAATATACACACCCATTTTAACCCAACGCAACGTTGCGCGGTCCCCCTTTTCCAGCTTCCAGGAGCGACCTGTCTGGGTAAGCGGCCGTGTCTGTAAGTGGAACTGATTGAACGTCCCCCTCACCCGGGTCTGACTGCGACTCACGCCAGAAACCGCTGGTGCTGCTTACAACCGGGCTGACCTTTCCGGAACGACCGCAGGGATTCACCGTACGCTTGGACTCGTATCAAAGTCCGGGGGGTCTGAAATTTTGAGCTGTCCTCAGATCCCCCGCTAACAGTTTAACTTTTAGTGGGCTAAATGGAAAGCCCCACTAAACACAAAAAGGCTAAGAAGCTAAGGGGATGGCTGGGAGCCACCAAGAATTGAGGGAGATGACCACAAGTGGCTGGTTCCGCGTAATGTCTTGGACACTCCCCAAGCTCAACAAGAACCCGCCAGCGGCACAGAAGCAGCCAGAACAACATGTGTGAACGAGTCACCACAATGGTTTGCATTTTTTTAAGGTACCCTTGTTTGGTATGGACTTCAAGGAAAACAACAAGGACAACCACTTGTCTTGTTGGCGTTCTGCCCAGTACCCCGAGGTCACCTTTCAGAACTCTTTCCCCGTTTCATCTTGCAGCTCAAAGTTATTATCCGAGAAACTGGGACCAATGTTTGAGAACAAGAATCCTTTCATCTGGAACAACTAAGACATCAGTCATCTGTCCTGCCCATGATCTGTCCTGCCTATGAGACTCACTTTTTCTCCAGCTTGAACATCAGACTCGTCTAATCAAAGATGATGCAACAAATGATGTTTAAACTGGCAGAGGGAACTATGCGCTGGTCAACATTGCCTGACCAATCCGATTTGCCGCAAAGTGAAGGATCTTCCGCCCAAACCTCCAGTGGGAAGAGTGGGCGTCCACTTTTTGGGAGTTGATTTCAAAGCAAACCTCCCCCTCCAAAAAAAAACAACAACATGGCATTGAAGGGTGGATCTGGATTGCCGCTAAAGCCCGGTTTAAGCCCCAAGTCAGCCGGCACCGCTTGGATTTGCTTGTCCTAAGCTCATCACCATCGGACACTGCTGACCGTAGCCAAATCAACAGTTCTATAGGGTTGCTTCCCCATTCTTTTCAGGGATCCTTCTTTCTAGAAAACCAGCAAAAACCCTGGAGACTGCCTGGTTTTTGAAAAGAACGATGGCTGAAAAGAATGAAGAATCAACCCCTAGAACAATAGAGAAACCAACAAAACACCTGCTGCCAATGAACATGGAGCTCAAAAGGGGGGCTCATCCTGGAGGGTCTTGGGGCCATGTTCATCAGGGGAGTAGATTGTTTGTTTGAGTCAGCTTCTGCTGGCGGTTACCCTCCCGCCCTCCGTCAATTATCACACGTGTAGAAAAAGCAAGGGTCGTCTAGAGTCTAAAAAGGGAAACCTAAGCGAACACCAGGGGTTTCCTTTTTGAGGCCCCGTGTTTACGTGGAAATTCTTCAAATAAGTTGGGCTGTCGCGAGCAAAACATGCACCGACCCTCACGGACTCACAGGATCGCACCAGTTGAATGCTGAATATGGCAAGCGGAACTTGACTTGGAATAGTCCTTGTTTCTGGGTTGGTCTTTGACCTGCAACATGTCTATACGTTTTGCTGTTGAGGGGGAAACCGCCATTTTGCAAGTAAACGTGTTAAACATGAGGCTAAACAGCAACCAAGATTTCTGGTTGGATGTGTGCATTGATTGCTTTATTTGCAGAATCCAAAGTATTCCGTCCTCTGTTGCCACGCCCTTGAAGCTCACTTTTCGGAACATCGAAACAACTTTTGCAACGGCCAAAATGGGGCATGGTCACCATTCCACGGAACTTTTTTGACATCCATGATTTGAACTTGACGACAACCCTGGTGAATTTGGTTTGGGTGAATTCAACCACCATCTGCGCCAATGTCAGAAGCCTGGTGGAATGTTCTATTCATGTGATTGTTTGTGTTTGCTTGTGCTTTGAGGGTACCCAAGGGGCGGGCTTTAAGATAACAAGGAGAACCGCCGTGCTTGAAAAGCCAGATAGAGTCCAAATCCGACCATTTTCACATACCATTTGGAAACTGATGCTCCCCTCAGTGCAAGGCATCTTGAGGCCTCACGTTCCCGCTTGCCCGGCCATTTCTCTTCCCAACCGTTTGCATAAGGCATTCGTATATAGGCAAAGAAATCGGAAACTCCAGTCGCATCCCCCTTAAGCAAGTCGAGGCTTGAAACAATACGCCAACATTGGACACTCTTTAAACAAGGTATTCAGCTCCTGAGCAGCCAGCCCGTAGGCCTGTGACGGGCGCAAGGGGTTGGCAGGCCTATGCTAAAGCCTGGGTGAGGAGGTTTCGTAGGCCTATGCTGAGAGATCTGCGCAAAAGCAACCACCAAATCCCCTTGGGTGGGTGCCATTCTGTGTAGCTGGTCAAGGAAAAACTTGAGCTTTCCGTGAAATTCCAAAGGACGGAGCCTTTAAGTCCTGAGACTTTCCAAGCGGCTTCTTCTTGTCAACCACCTGTCAGCGCGAGACGGCCCTATGATGAGACTCATGTTGACGTCACAGAGTCATGCAGATGCCGCCGGAAATGTGTGCCACAGCCACAGAATCAAACAGTGACCCAGAGTGGTTGGGGTTCTCAAGAACTGTGTCGGAGGTCGAGTGGCTGATCAAGGGCTCAAAGCAAAACCCCGGCAGGACATCCAAGGGCGTTTTTCATGGGGGAGCGCCACAATGGCTTGCTCCCTTTTAGGGTTCCCTTTAAACCACCCCAAAAGGGAGCCAGTAGTTGGAGAACCTTTTGGGACGAGCTGTCAAATTGGAGCCGTTTGTTGAAGCCAATTTGGAATTTGGGGCAAGACAACAAGACAACATGTACCTCGCAACTCCAAACACTTGGCATAGGGCATGCCTGCAGGGACTGAGAATCCCCCTCAAAAACCACCCATCCAAGGACACCCTCAAACAGCTTGGTGGTTGCTGGGTCTGGAAAAATAAGAAACACCTGTCCCCTTTAAGCCTTTGGGTCTATCCACATGGGCCATTTGGCACCCAGGTTGCAGAAATCCAAACAATGCGTTTCCTTTTTGATGTCCACAGCATCCCACCAATCCAACCCAGTCCTATCCATGGTTGTCGGGTTTGCCTCAGGAAACGAAGACACGGCACCACTAAAAATCCCATCGTATCATACCAAAGCGGAAGTGCGCTTCCCTTTGGTGCCCATTACATCAACCTCCCAAGAGGTCCCAATTCATACCCCTGTCCGCTGGGGGGGGGTGGGCTTTGGAGAACATGCCCCTTTTTGTTTGGGGGGGTGGTGTTGGGAAACCAGGTGAAGGGACAGGAAGGGGCGACCATCTCGCAACAGGAAGCCAAACTAAGAGGGGAAACCAAAGGTACAGACAACACGAGCCAAAACTTTCTGGTTCTCAGCCGAGGAGGAGAAATGCAATGACCTCTATAAACCCTCCCTTGCGGTTTCCTTGAAGGGGACCAAAGCCTGGGTTCATTCTCAACACTCGGAATCAAGGTCCCCTATCGCACCACCTCCATTTGCTTAAGTCCAATGGAACAAATACAAATATGTCCAGTAGTGATAGATTCCCTTTAAAACCAACAAAAAGAAATACAACAAAAACACACTTCGCCAAATGGAAGACCGGCATCGCAAAGCATCGGAAACAAACAACAAAAAAGCAACAAAAAAAAAGCAGCTGCCACGCAGCCACCCCCCACAAACCATGAACACGGAAAGCGCAACCCAGCGAAGAGAAATCAAAAATCGGCCGCTGGCCAGGCCTCCGCCTGGCTCAGCTCCCTGCGCTTGCCGGATGGGTTCCGATTCTCCTTTTGGGATTCCCGGGCCCGGGACATGGGGGAAACCGCAAACTGCCAGGTCCTCCAGATTTTTGAGAGGTTAGAAGAAGGGTACCAACCTTCTGTCTAGTTGAGTAGGGGGACCCTCCCCCAAAAAAAGGGGGGAGAAAGGGCACTACTGGGGGACCTAGGTAAACATAGGCGTGTTTGAACAGCATGTACAATCATGAACACTAGTACATCGTGGTATAGACATAGTTTCACATGTGCACCTATAAATACCGCGAAGGTGTGTCTCTGTGGAACTAAAACGGAACAAATCTGTGGAGTTTATGTCCTATCTGGAGGCAACCGCATCCAATTTTGAGACAAGCCCTATGAGTAGATAATACATATGTACGATTTAATACATGTATGTATATATATATATATAATGTAGCATTCATTTTCCAACATGCAAGGATCAACATGCTTAAGATTGGGGAACTTGTAGAACATCCACTCCTCCCACCCCAAAACAAAAACAACAACACAAAAAACAAACAGCTCCCTCCCCCAAGAAAGGCACTTTCGGGTGACGTCGCACCGTGAGGTCCGCCCACGTTGAAACCAAGGGACTGCGTTCAGTCAGCAACCAAAAACTCGTCCAAACAGGAGGTCTGCAAAATATACAAGAGTTGTCCGTTCCCTTGTGGGTTGTGGGAACACTAAAAGCATTGGGCTACTTGGCACCCAGTTTCCCTGCAGGAAATGAATCATGCTTCAAGACAGGTCGGACGCGTTCCCGAAGCCCCGAACCAAACAAAGGTGCCTGTCGTGGTCGTCGTCGATGGATTGGAAATCCTCCTCGTCTTGGTCCTGCTCGCTGCTTGAGTTCTCCAGCGGCGGGTTCAGTTGCTGAAGGTGCTGCTGCTGCAATTGACTTTGCAACTGAAATTGCTGTAGCTGCGGCACCTGCTGCAGCTGTTGAAACTGCTGCTGAAATTGCGGCTGAAATTGCTGTTGCATTTGAGGTTGTGATTGCATCTGCTGCCTCGGCTGCATTTGCTGCATTTGCATCTGCTGCATCTGCATTTGCTGCATTTGCTGCATTTGATCCTGGCGCTGCGCTTGCGGGCCTTGGTTGACAAATTGCTGGAAGTTTGGCTGCTGACCTTGCTGCAGCTGAGAGATTTGCTGGAATTGTGGAAACTGCTGCTGCGGCATCTGCTGCTGCATTTGCTGCGGCATCTGCTGCTGCATTTGCTGCGGCATCTGCTGTTGCATTTGCAGCTGCATCTGCTGCTGCTGCTGTTGCATCTGCTGCGGCTGAGGCACCTGCTGAGGTATCTGCTGTGGCATCTGCTGCAACATTTGAGCACTCGGAGCCGACATCTGAAATTGATGCGGCTGATTCGGCATCGAAAGTTCCGGCTTCGCCGCGACCACCATACCTGGGCGAAGCCAACTCCGTCTCGCTCGGTTCTGAGGAATCCAACACTTGTGCAAAGAGTCTTCAATGCATCTCTTTTCTCAAGAATGCCAACGGCCGGCCAGTTGCTTGGAGAAGATTTGGGTTCCGTTTCAATGCATCTGTTTCCGGAAAAAAAATGCCCAGCCTGTCAGCGATCGAATGGGGAAGGGAAATTCACACATGGCCAGTTCGCACAGAAGCCCAAGCTGTAAAGTTCCTTTGAACGAACTGGAACGCACAGGAAGACACGGGGCCACAACCACTGCCACAGTAAGGCATGGAGGGAGCCAACTCGCACTCCAACATCCCATCAACTCAAGGGAAACTGGCACATTCATTTGACGAGGTGCATGGATCTGAAGGCACAAGCAAGGGATGCTCTTTTTCGAGCAAACCCTGGAGCATACGACGACCAGAGGCTTATCCCAAAGCGATCAACTGCCACGTCTTCCGACTGCAAGCGGAGGTCAGAAGTTGGAGTTGTTGGTTCCAAATTGCCAAGGTGCAGAGAATGCAAACGATGTAAATACCAACCCCGTACTCATTAAACCTCGCAGATTCTTTGGAGGGTGATTCAGTTTCTTTAAAATTGAAGGAGTCTCCACGTAAGCAAAACCGCAGACAGGTAATGCCCGCCCCGCATCTGGGCTCCCCGCTATAGGCCTGGGCGGGTGAGGCCTTTTTTTTCCCGCGAATCAAAGCAAATCCGTTCACCGTTGGAACCTCCGAGAGGTTGGGGTGGACACGTTGCGTTGGCCCAAGGACGATTTTGGAGAAAAAGATGAGCAGCGCCCGAGAGAAGTTGACTTTGTTTCTACCAGCATGGTGATGAATATCCATACATGGGCCATACTATAACCTTACTGGTTGTACTAAAATGGCCGATAGAGGTTTTGGGCGAAACAAGTGCCAAGCAAAAGCAAGCGCACAGAGACCCATGTCGATGCAGTGGTTGTATCTCCCATCCCAGGAGCAGAGAGGGTGGGGGGAGGGGGGGGGGCTGGAACACCTTGTGGTTTCTAGGGAACACTTACCCTCCCACACACGCGCACACACACACACACATGTCGCATCTGGCACGACCCGAGAGACAATGCATCGTTCAAGTTGGGAATGGCAAAACCTGGAAAAACTTTGGTCCCCTGCTTAGCTGGATTCAAATGAACCACGAGGAACAATCGGGAGCCAGGCAACTGGGACTGTTCGCTTCTGCACTCACTGGTGCAAACCTCTGCCTCCCACAAAACACAACACATCGCCTTTCTTTCTGGTGCATACTGTGGATGGACGAAATCCTGCACCACCCAGAACACCCTGGAATGATGATTCCCCTGAAAATACCAACAAACATCGGTTTCAACCATGGTTTCAAAGTTGTGCGAACGGATTTCGCAACCATCCACAGAATTCAGTGCACCTAAATTAAACCCGGGCTCAAAAGAGATACGACAGGCATGGGACTGGATCGATTCACCACTTCGCTCGCCCTCGCGCTCGCGCGCCTGCACGTTCACCGGCCTCAGGCAAATAAACTTCCCCGCGAATGAACATAGAACCCCAAGTATGAAGTTGCAGGGGAATATTCGGAATAGAGTGGTGGTTGGTGGGTGGGCCGAGAGAGAGGGGAAATTCCGAGCCGAAATGGGTGGATTCCTGACGGCTTCCCTGACCATCAAACAAAAGGAAGCCTCCCAAACGGACACGCCTGCCTGGAAAATCCGATCCCCTGTCGGCTTCCCTTTCAAGAATCGCCTCAGACGGACTGAACCCCAGAGGTCTTTGCCCAAGCTGCACCAAAATAGGAGGAGTGGGTCCACCAAAACTCAAGGCTAAGCACCTTCGCCCATGCCCGCAGAAGACTTTTGTATATTTGGCTGAGGTCTGCTGGACGTGAATTCCTGGCCGTCACTCACGGCGCTAGGCTCCGCGAAGTTCGCAGCTACCAAACAAAACTGCCGAATGAAGGTGTGCGTGACTCATGTTGCCGAACCGCATGTTGAGCAACGAACTGCACGAGTCTTTGGATCGTTTTGGATGCAAAACAGTAGAAACATGACTGATGAGAGCACATGAAGATACTTCTCAATTCTGTTCAAATTCGGAAGGAAAGACGTTGTACAATTCATGACAGGGTTGTACGGGCAGATTGACATGTCTATCTGTAAATTACTTGGGAAGTAACGACAAGTGTGCAAAAACACTCCTCCTACTTGGCTTCACAGCTACTTTAAGCAAGGTTGAGCTCCAGCCGCTGCTAGGTACGGCATGTGGAATTGAAAGGGAGGCTAGCGGGTGAACGCCGAAGGCACATTCAAGAACACACCAGAGCTCCCCTGCGCCCTTTAGGAGAGGTTCTGATCGATTGGTGAAGACCTGCTCAGCTTGGAATGGTGGCAATGTCCCTTCAAACTCAGAGGATACCAGGAGTTACATTTACATAGTTTTACCACCAAGGGCAGTAGAAACATCTTGCCGGCCAAGCGTCGTCATTGGCATCTGCACCGTCTGGTATGGATTGCAGCCTCGTAGCGTCAGGAAATGAAGAACATTACATTTTTTGACACGCCAGGATTGTTCCAAATAATTTGTCTGTCACACAAACCCGAAAACCCGCAAACATGCAAAAGCGCAACTCTGAAAGCGCGCACAGACAGAGAGACGCGAACGCTAACAAAGACGCGAAGGCAACCATGGACACAAACATTCATTCCTGGGGCTCATCAAAACCTGCGTGCCCTTAAAACGAATCCGTAAAGGTGATAATCCGTTACGCGGCCTTAATCCGCTCAATCCGCACGGTGTCCAATCCGTAATCCGTTTCGACCCCTGCTTCCGTAGTCCGTGTCTATTCCGTAATGCGGCGCGACCCCCGGCTTCCGTAATCCGTGTCTATTCCGTAATCCGGCGCGACCCCAGCCAGATTCAGACAACACGGCGCCAAGATGCACAGAGTCAGAACCCCCAAAAGCACAAACCGCCGCAATTTTCAGCTTTTTCGGGGTTCTGGGGACATCAGGAGAAGGAGCGAGCGAGCCAGAACCCCCAAACACACAAACCATGCAATCTACGAGCTTTCCCGGGTGGCGGCAAGAAGCCCAAAATACGGCCGCTAAGCCGACGAAGCTAGACACAGGAGAAGGAGCAAGTGAGCCAGAACCCCCCCAAACACACAAACCACGCAATTTCGAGCTTTCTCGGGGTTCGGCCAGAAAAGGAGTGAGCGAGCCAGAACCTCCAAACACACAAGCCGCTCGATTTGAAGCTTTTCCAGGGTTCTGGGAACGACAAGAAGCTGACACACGGCCACCAAGCCGACGAAGATAGACAGGCGCTCCCCAGATCCCCCAAACACACACACACACAGCACAATTGCGAGCTCTGTAGGAGCCAAGCCCGGCCGCCGCCGTCACTTTTCTCACAATCTCAAGAGCTCGCAGATCTCATTGCAGAGATCTCAGCACCCCACTTGAAGCTGCTTCGCAAGCTTCACCCCAAACAGTAACTTCCATGATTGCACGGTTGTAACCCGCGAGCCTCTTCCACACGCTCTGCAACACCGAAAGCGACACACCCCCAACGGACTGTCCCCCTACTTCTCCTACCCTTTTCTTTGTCGCATGTGGGTAAGATAGGGAGACCACCCAAATAGGTGTTTTCCGCTTTTGTCTCCATTTGACAAGCATAACAAAGGGATCCCTCAAACGGTGTTCGTCAAAACCAAGTTGCCATTTGAGACACTGCCTTTTTAGGGGGGAAGCCTAGGGTCTGTATGCCCAGCAAAGGCTCTTGGACCCTCGTCTAGGGCTTCTTAGAAGGGTTCTCGGAACCCTGCCTCACAAACTATGGGAAAGGCTCTAACGTGCCTCCATGTCAAGCTTTCCTTTGCTTTCCTTCTGGGGGGGGACAAAGGTGTCCCAAAAGTTTCTGGGCGTCCCGTTTCGGCCCCCAACCGTGCCCGCTTCCACTCCAAACCGGCCAGGAAGCCCAAGGACGGCGGATGAACAAATGCCCCGGGCACATCTGCCGGCACTCCTGGCCGGTGGGGGGTGGGGGTGGGGGTGCGGGTGGGGGTGGGGGTGGGGGTGGGGGTGGGGGTGGGGGTGGGGGTGGACAAGGACAAACTGTGAAAAAGGGTCCTGTAAAAACTAGGTCCTCCAGCAGAGAGGTTAGAATAAGGGTACCCTATTGTTTTTCTGTAGTCTCTTTCTCCCCCAAAAAAGAAACGGTAGGGCAGTACTGGGGGACCTAGAAAAGGTCCGTGCGGACAATCTGATTGCAAACTGACCCCAAAGTTCTTTCTCCAGAAACGGCGCTTTGTCAACTGACAACATGTTTTTCCTTCTATCACAGTTGTGGAAACCAACCTCGTACCTCCCACACCAACAGGCTGGTCGCATGTTGTGTTGCTGAAGCTCAATTGAAAGACGGATGCTCAGCCACTTGAAAGAGATGACCTCCATGGACGCAGGAAGAACAACCGACTGTGACAAACGCATAGCTCCCCAGACAAGTCAGAGGTATTTACTGATTGAAACCACAGGGATCCATCCAGTTTGAGCAGCGAACTGTTCCGGCTTCGGCTGCCTTGCGCCTGCGAGCTTTGATTTCAGCAGCCACACAGGAAATCGCTTCGCATGGCGATATGCGGTCAAAACAAAGTAAACAAGCGTAGTGCCAATTTGACCGAAGGCGCTTTCTGAACGTATTTCGGTCGTTGTTTGCGCGTGCTTGTGTTTGTGTGTTCGTGTGCTTGAGGCCAAGACCAGACGAGCATCTTCATGTGCACAGCATGTGTTCGTGTGCGCAGAATGTGTTTTCGAGTGCGCATGTTTGCTAACATGCCACCCCAACCCCCCCCCCCTCCCCCAACCAGTGGGCAAGCCTGAGTTGATTGGAGAACCCTAGGTCTTGGGGGGGAACAATAGAACCTGACACCTTTAGCGGGGTCTTTTTGCCACCTGTGAGAAAATTGGTGACCCCCTCAAGGAATGCTGCACAAGGGGCTCGATCATTTTTCCACAGACCACGACCAGCTACCGCCCACTACCATCCACCACCCACCAAAGAGCAAACCACCCCACGATGGTTCGGCTGTCTGACTGGAACCCTCGAAGATGGTCCTCCCTTCGGATGGGGCGCAGGCCTCGGATAATAGGCGGTGAGGTATATTCTACGGGAGGAAGCTCTGTGTAGGTTGGCTTAAAGGGAGACCTACTTCTGCTTCGGACTGTCCCTATCCTTGATCCACCCTTCAAGTGTGGCTCATTAGAAAAGGGGGAGGGGGAGGGGGGCTTCTCGTCAGTTGCGAACATATGGCGTGAGAGCTGCCACGGACAAATACAAAGACCAAAGCAAGCAGAAGCGGTAGCACAATTGCAGTGGGTCGTGGTCTTTTGCACTCGTGGGGTTCAAGCATGAGCCCTAAATGAAGAGTCAGTATTTCTGTGTGGTGTCCGTTGAACATTGATCCGAACCTTTAGCACTACTCCAACGACTATGTTCTTCATCTTTGACAAAGCCCATGTGTTGCCTTCCAAAGGCAACATTGCAAGCTATTGACGGGGGCATGGTTAAAAAAAAAGAAGTTGCCTGTAAGGATTATCTCACCGACTCTTGGTTGCTCCTTGGAGGACAGAAATGGGTCTGCGTCGCATCCCACGACATGGGTCTCCCCTCTGTTTCTCGAGGGAACGCCCCCTACGGACCATCGCTGGTGGTTTCCAGCCTGGATTGCCCGGCAACGAGCGGTTCGAATCCCCAAACAATCCAACAGGTTGCCTTTGTGAGATGCCAATCGCAAACCGCATATTCAATATGACAATTTCCACCCGCGGCCAAAGCTGTTGACGCAAATCGCCTCAAGCACCTGGGTGGCAAACTATAACAAATCCTTCACTTCCTGAGTTGACTAGCCAGGAGGAATCCAAACACTTTGTTTGCCACTGCAATGATCTTCCCAACAAGTCTGAAATCCGAAATGAAACTCAGGGAGTGAGCTCAACCTAAGAAATGTACCCTCTTGGCTCAAAAGTCCAAGCAGATCGGAAGCGCATTCCTCTTTTCGAGGCCAGATTTCTGGACACCCTGTTTCGAACAGAAGGCACTTGTGGCAAGCTACCTGCAAGATCAATATCAAGGGAAACACTAGACACCATGTTACGGTATGAATACCAATTGGTTGTCTGTTTGAGGTTACCCATTTTGGGGACGTTTAAAACAGGTGAACCACAGGAACCCACCCCATGTGTGATCTTTTTGGGGGGAGCAGAGGAGGTGTTTTTTTCTTGCGAGACAGACCCAGAAATGGGCACTTTGGAAATTGATGCCCACCAGAATTCGGATGTTCGAGCCATTCGCAGAAAATTTGACACCAAGCACCCAAAAAATCTCGATTCGGCCCAGCAGCAAAGAGTTATCCGCCTGAGAAAGGACTCGCGACGCTGGAAATCCCGCTCTGGGTCGGGCCCGTTCAAGAAACTAAGAAAGGAATGCGTGTAGATTTCTACGGCTAAGTATAC